AAGCTATGTTGAAGCTTATCGAACTCAAAAATGCTATACATTTGTAAAACAAGGGTTATGGCAACTACATCGCTTTACCCTAAAGGGCTCGCTCATATTCCTGCTATATCATTTCTCCTGTCGAATGCGTATTTACTAGCGTCGCCCTAAAGGGCTTTGCCAGCTCATACTTATTCTCCTATATCGAACATGTATTCATCATCGCTCCACTCCTCTTCATGCTTATTCTCTCTTGCTACCTATGCAGTATGCTATTGGAAGGTAATTCGCTTACTATTTGCTCACTTATTACCACTCATATTTGCCTCATATATAGCATACATTAAAATATGGTAGCATATGATCAAAATGATATAGCATCCATATTCGCTTCACCTTAAAGGGCTTGCTCATATTTCTGCTATATTGTTTTTCCTATCAAATGCGTATTTACTGGCGTCACTCTAAAAGGCTTTGCCAGCTTACACTTATTCTCCTATATCGAACGCGCATTCATCATCACCCCGCTTCTTCTCATGCTTGTTCTCTCTTGCTATCTAAACAGTATGCTATTGGAAGGCAATTTGATTATAATGTATGCGAAAAATTTATGGGTGAGACTTGGCGTATATATACCTTAGAGGTGAGATTTAGAGATGAGACTTAGAATATGGTATGCATTTTAGGCTTATATAGTTGAGCCCAGCTCAAATCGTGTCACTTTGTTCTTTGATTTTCACTGGGCTCTTTAGAGGCAAGCAGAATAGCATAAAAGTTATTATTCATATTGGGTTTGCAATGTTAGGCTCATCTCCAATTGCGTCACTTTATTTCTTGATTTTCGCTGGGCCCTTTATAGGCAAATAGAATAGTAAATTTTTTTGATATATTAGTTGAAATTAAAATCAGGCTAGAATAGTTATATCAATCAATATAATTCTTGATATCAAACAGGCTAATTTCTAGCCAAGTTCGATAACATTATCTAGAATTGAGTTAAAAGACGCTAGAAGGTTGAATAAATAGAAATGAAATATATATCAAACTGGACTTGTAAGGGGATTTGAGTACTATATATAGGTATTCATTGAAAACTGTCTGAGATCTCTCAAAATGCCCTATATGCCTTTTTTAGTTTAATTCATAATTACTTCTTTATATTCTTTATGTACTTTTTTCTTATTTTTACTATTTAATTATTTAAACAATTTAAAAACCTATTCAAAGATACTCAATCTTCTTATTTATTTCTTTTATTAATTATATTATTGTATTTTTAAATTACAAAAATAATAAAAATGATAGAATTCAAATTTTTTTTTATTTATTTATTTTATTTGCTAAAAATGGTAAATTAGTTTATGATATTGACCAATTAAATTCTTCAAATAAAGCAACCAATTAAATTATTAATTGCAATTGCACTAGAAATTTAATAAAATAAGTTTTATGATATAAAATAAGAAACATAACTTTATTTTGAAAAAATACAAAATTTAAACTATATAAATTTCTAAAAAATAATTATTAAATAAAGAAATTTTTTTTGATGATAATGCTGCAAAAACCGGCATGAAGAGATGATCACTTTATTATTAGAACATTACGTGCAAGTTATATACCTTTTATTAGTTCTTTTATTAATTAAAAATAGTTTACGATATATTTACTAAGGCATTAAAACGTCGCAACAACTCCGATAATAATTTATTTATATCGTTTGAACCTGCAGTAGTTAAGACCTATAGGTCAATAAATAATTTTAGCAATTTATTATTTGGATTAAAATTAAAAATGGTAGATGCGTGACTTTAAGGAAAAGATTATATCGTTGTTCTACAATTAGAGTGGATAAGACCATCTCTTCCCATCCAACCCTATCTACAATTCGTTTTTATACAACTAATTTATTCTTTACTCTTATTGGTCTTAAAAGATACTGTATATATCGTGCTTTTAAATTACGATAAGTTTATTAAATTGTCCTCGGGGCATTGTTCAAAATTTGACCTTTGCGATAGAATAATATCCTGCTACCAGCACTAACATTCTTGAACTAGGATGCAGTTATTTCGATATTAATTAATTAAAATATTTATTCTGATTTGAGATTTAATAAATTCTTCATTTCTAAAATTTTTAGTGAAATTTTGTATTATAAAAGAAAATACATGTTAAAATATAATTATTATTTTTTTTTTACAATTCGAACTTATCACCTAATATTTACTTATGTGTGCTGCGAAAATAAAAAAAATTTTAATAATTGTATTAAAAGCCAGCTTTTATACTGTCTAATTATGACACCCGTCAAGGATTGATCTGCATTACATTCTTTTTTATTCAAAAATAACCAGCCAAAAAATTGATTCTATTTTGAATAAGGTTTAGGCTTATGCTTATTTATGTATACGAAAAAGAGACCAACAGGACCCCAGGATTTTATTCGGAATTGTTCGGATTAAGTAACAATGGATGAAAATATAAACTGAAACTAAATATTATAAACAATGATTTTCTTGTTGCTCGGTTATGCAATTATATCTGCATCGGCAAATGAATTTAATAATGCATATTATTTGTTGTCATTGTAATCATTTTTTTGAATTTCAAAGATGAGTAAGTATTATAAACAAAATATCACGACTTATAACTTTGTGATTTATAAAAAATGATAGTTTAATAAAATTTTTTTATTATATTTAATTTATAATTAAATAAAAGTAATTTGTCTTGAAAATATAGAAAGTTTTATATTTTATACAAGCAACATTTATTAAGTATTGGCTTGATTAATCTTTTCTTGAACTCGTGTAGTAAATTATATGTAGTTTGATATATTAGAGTAGCTTAGTTAGGCATATAATATTTGTTGTCATTTGTAGTTGTAAAAAAAAGTTTCGCTTGATCATGAGTCGTTAAGTACTGTAAAATGTTTTAATGCAATTATAAAAGGAGGTAGTTTATTTATTTTGCGTATAAACTAAATTAGGAATTCAATTCCATATTAAATACTCTTTTATTAATCCCGTATGCAAACATTAATACTAAATTTAATTAGCATGCTTGATTAGATAATTTGATATTGGATGCTCAACTAATATTCTAATTTTGTTGTACGGATAAGATCTCCGATTTAAAACTCGAACTTTTGCTTGAAGTTAATTAATTAATTGCTTAAAATGAGCAGTGCCCGCATAAGCATTTCCCGCAGCAGAGTGGCGTATTTGAATTCCCTCATGACATATTTTCAGGTAGTACTTCTTGCACACGACCAACAAAATTATCTAATGGGGCGTGATTGATTCTTTTTGAATTTAAAAAAGAAAAGAAGCATCATCCGAAGAATCACCTGAGGTCATTCGATACTTTTTGGGAAAAATCTGATATAAAATTTAATATAATAATTACATGAATTAACTTCTCGATTCAAATGTATAAATGGACTGGATTTAGTCTTGACAAAAATTTTACCTTTATATTTTATTGAACATCTTCTGTCATCCTAATACAATTTTGAATCATGACTCTTTATTTTTTAAAGCCACAAATGACTGATTGATCGGCCACGGTCAAAATGAAGAGAAAACCAAGAAAACCAAATGCTTTTCGTAACGAAATGATGCAATATAACAAAGATAATTTGCCGATGACGGAGTTCAGCAAACTAGTATCACAACGTTGGCGTGATATGCAAATTTTGACTTTAATTCTTCAATGGAGGAAGTTGGTCAATTTAATTTGTATCAAATGTTTCCTAACGTAATGAATAACGAAAATGATGTATATGATCAAATGAGCGAAAGTTTAGACTCTAATCTTTCGAAGT